ATTGGCGCTGCTCAGTCCTGCTTACTTCTCTGAATTGCACGCCGCTGATGGCAGGCTAGGGATGATCCCACGTGTCCACTTAACAAGCGCCCTTACATCAGCATGCTGCGGTGTCCGAAGTGGAAAGTTGACTAAGAGAAAGCTCTGAGACAAGTGACTAGACGAATTCCACGAAATTTCCCTATTTACACCCTTGTCTTGGTAACACAGACCCAAAACCCCTAGTGTGAACGTTAGCTCAGAGTTGTGATCAGTGGATCATTTTAGTAACTTCTTAGTGGGTTTAACTATCCTAACAGAAAGTTTATAGCCCCAGCCTGGTTGATGGACAATGTCACAATATCAGATTGTGCCAGTCAAAGGACCTCAATCGCTGGCTTTGATGTTGGAAATTACCACAACCTGGGCCGTCATTGATTCCCAAACTGGCAGTTGTCCTTGGAAATAATTGTTCCGTTCCCACTGCCTTGCTGCACTGTCACCGTCATCTTCTGACCTGACAGCGCTTGTGGCGAAGTGACGTGACTGCCCACAGCTTTTAATGCGCCCCATGGGTGGAAAAAGAAATGGTCGCGGCACAAATGGCTGAAATACTTCCTTCTCTTTTAACCACACACACGGATGAACTAATCAGGTTACAAAGAACAAGATGAGGGAGAGATTAAACTGGCAATACTGAGGGAGATATAGTTATCATGCGTTAATAAGGCCCAGTGGTAGACATGATCATGAGCCGACGTACCAAGAGGGCAATTAATACCATGGCTACAGCAACAGCCAACCACTTGACCCACTGTGTTTGGTGCGGGAGTAAGGAGGCCCCCGCTGAGGCCATTCCACCAGCTGAAGTCCTCTCTAGTCGCGCCTGCATCGCGCAGACGCGTCTACGGTGTCGTTCTGCAGCATCCTTGAGGATTCGTTGCGCAGCCTCCTTGGCAATCTCCCTGGAAGGAAGAGGAACCACCCGAGGCCCCTGAGTGACAGAGGAGGAGGCGAACTGTGGCAAAGGTTCACTGGGGATTGAACAAATCCGCTCTACCTGGATCGGTGACTCGCAGTGGAGCGAGGCAGTAGGCCCTAGCCGTTCGGGTCCCGAAGAGGGGCGTCTACCACTACCACCACCTCCACCGCTGTAACAGACGGCAACGCTACTTCCAAGGCTGCCACTTTCAATACCAGAGGCGGGTGGCTTGACAACATCATCAAGAACTATGGTGGTTGGGGGGCTACTACTCTCTGGACGACATCCTGATGGCTCTTCTTCCTTTGCCTCCAATTTCTCCGGTTCTGGCTCAGACACCGGCTGCGACACCACCTCCGTCCCCTCAGTTTCACCAGAGGATTCCGATGCTGTGACTGCATTCACTCGCACCTGATCGGTCGATAAGTTAGGCGGTTTAGCCGAGGGTGACTTACATGAAGCTGTAGGGGAAGATTCGATTCTAGCCCCGTCTGACGCAGACGGACGTTCATGGACCTACGCAGGTGAGAGGGTAAAAAGGCAAAGCATAGAAAGATAAAACATTCCTTCAAGATTATTGCATAATCTTAGAAGATGTAAACCGTGTTTGGAATAGGTAAGGTGCATAAAAAAACGAGACGCATAACGTTCCCGTTCTTAGTGATGTTAGTGCCATCTAAATGGTAATAAAAATCTTGTTCAAGGTAATCAGTGGCGCACCGTGAGGTCCATGGCGATCATGTACTATTTTCGTTC